ATATATATATATATGTATATATATATATATATTATTTATTTTTAAACTCTTTATTTTTATCAACCGTCCGATCAAATGATTGGACGGTCCAAATTAAACCCCAAACTTTTTTCATCTTTTCCCAATAGAGAAAAGACCCCAACGTCTTCTTCTTTTTCCAGAAAAAGGAGGCACTGTTCCTTCCTCTTCCCCAGACGTCCTCACCTTCCCCATGCCCCTTCGTCCTCTCTCGTCAATCACCCATCGCCCGCTGCCAAAGAAACGGCCATGAACCACCGGAAAACGACAATATCCGGCGGTCTCCAACGTCACCTCTTCATCCATCCGCCATCCATCAATCACAGCCCCTCTTTCTATCAACTTTACATCTTTTCCAACTAATCTTCTGACCCAAAGCAGGCCTAGGAACCGCCGGCGCTTGCCTGAAAGGGTGAGGGACACAAAGAACCGTTGGATCTTGGTTTGATATGCCCTTAATCTAATAGGTTTGAGAGTGGACTCCTCTCCCAAAATCGGCTATAAAAGGAACCATTTGGCTTCATTCAAGGGATCGGGGGGAAAAAGGACCTAACGACATCCAAAAAAAAATCGAGAAAGAATCGATCAACGTTTAAAAAAAAAAACAATCTGAAATCAGGGAGAAAATCCAAGAATCAACGGTTTGTTTGTCTTTATTTTTTTCTTTGCTTCTCGAGTTTGAGTTCGGGAAAGGAATTCGAAGTTGGAGTCTTTGACGTCAAGGCTTTAGTTTGCTGCTCCAAGGAAGGTAATTTCGTCTCCCCCTGTATTTTTTTTGATGTGGTTGTTATGTGTTCAACACTTGGTATAGGGTCTATTATTATGAAGTATTTGTTTCCCTTGTTTTAGTCCTTGCCTTAATTTCATTTTCTTATAAGTCTCTGGGCAGTAGGCATAAGTCAAGCATCAGTGGAGTTGTTCGAGTGTTATATGTTGGTCATTATATTCATTTAACTTGATTTCGTATCCATGTAACTAGCCAAATATCTGCCTCGCTTTGCTTGCAATGGTTTGACGTTCACCTGGTCTCCACTTTAAGTGCGCTAACTATGTAGTTCTGTTTCACCATTGCTGGTTTGAATCCTGTTTGTCTGTTATTTTGAACTTTCTTATTAGCCTAATCTCTTACAATTTATTTATGTCCTCGCATAACTCGAATGTTGGCCGCGTTTCTCTTGTATTTAAGCTATTAATGTCATGTCTGTAACTCACTATAATCTCTTTTCAACTCAGCTCATAGGCTTACTGTTACATCACCTCTAAATGGGCGCTTATTTCCCTATTTGCTGAAACTATTTTGGATTCCGAAATGGGAGGTGCAAATCGGATAGTTCCCTTTTTCTTTCCAAGTGTAGATTAGTTCGTTTTAAATGCTACTCAT